AATATGTTTAGCGAAATGTGGGTAAGCCATTTAATTATATTATTAATTAATTGTGGCCTATAATTATATTCGGACGGCAGCTGTTGATAAACGAGCCCTGATTACTTCATTAGAGATTATTATAGCATATTTTTTCTTTCTTTTTTTCTATAATATGTTTTTTATTTTATATATATATAACTAAAAACTAAATATATATAACTAAACATATCCCAGTCAAGCGGTGGGTAAAAGCTGGTTAAATTACAATTTTACTAGCGTTTACCTGCGACTTTGTCCGCATAACCGGCATATGTTCATCGACCGGGATATAAAGTAGCCTGTATCCTTCTTCATCCCATATATACGTGTATACCAAATTTTACAATGATTGCTCTAGCTGTCGAAGCGCTAAAAGGCAACAAACTCACTTTCACATTTACAGTATATAAAATAAAAATGATATTACAAAAATTGATGTGTCAATCCCTTGGATATTTTCAAACTAATACAGATGAATGTTTTTATAATATGGTCTGTAGATACAAAAGAATAATGCAAGCTACATTACAAGGTTACAGTCCCCTATCCTATTACCATACATTCACTGTACATCCGGTGCGCGGTGGGTGGATCATAGAGATGTTTTTTGATGACATACCTTATAACACCTCACGTGTTTTTGTTATATAGAAATGATACAATACGTTGATATTTATCTATTTACTAGTTGTACTCCGCGGTTTTGCCCATGTCATCATTATCACTATAGCCTTTAACTGTCCATTGCTGAACATAAGTCTGGTGACCATAAGTACAGGTATTCTTATAGTCCTATCTCAGGCACCAGTCTCTCCAATCATATTTATAATTTGTTTAATATAAGCATTGTATAAGTCTTCCCCATAAGTAAAGGTTTTACCAATAGTTGCCAGATTTGGCAGGCAACTCCTAATAAGGGGTTATTAGGGGGTTTTAGTAGTTACTACCCTTGACAGGCAGTTAGGCTTTACAGATGTTTTAAAGGGATGCTGTTGCCCGTCCCTCGCCCTCCTTTTTTAACCTTTTTCAGTTAAAACCTGGTATCATGCGCATCTCTTGCTGTATTCACTTTCATAACTCGTCTTTTCGATTAAAAAAAAAATGTAGCCGCTCTAACCGGTCAATTTGTCTATGAAATTTTTAATTGTAATTATTTTTACAACTTGATTAAGGAGTTTTTTTTTTTTTTTGTAAACTCATTTCATTTACACTCTAAGTAAGGAACAAATAAGAGAAATAAGAAAGAATTTTGTTAAATTAACTTGTCGAATGTACTGAAGTTTTCCCTAAATATAATATAACAGCGTGGGGTTATTCCAAAACAGCATAGGTAATAAGAGGACCTATCATGAAATGTTTTTCGAAACTTCGGAGCCAGACGAAACACAAATTTGATGTTAAAATTACATAATACATGACGTTTGAAAATATTAAAAATGTTAAAGTATCGTGCCTTTGGACTTTTACGATAGGATGTATGACGAACGAAATGTTAAACTCCATTTATTGATCCGATTTTGGTATAAACAAAAACACGAAATTGAGCCCGGAAATTCGGAATTTCATTTTATGGTAGACCCGCAGGTTTCTTAAGTGTCGGTAACGCACACGTAAAACCGCTGGTATTGTAGGCGTTTAAATTATGCAACTGTTCACGATTTATGCTTTTGCATTTAATTTATAGCACTTGAGAATCCTTTCATCATCAAAATCAGCTTTTTGCATTCCATTGCTGAATTTGGACTTCTCTCAAGGTATGCCACTGAACATTATCTTCGAGCCTCCGCTTCCAGTTACCACCAACAACCGTACGTACGTCGTCGCTCCATCTCGCCATATTATGCTTCATTGGAGAATCCTTTCATTGATGGCTTATCTATTTACCTTACCGGATCTTACCAGAGAGAAACTTTGTACAAAAGTCGATTGCTTGGGCACCTCTGTTCCATTCGTGTTTCTACTATGAAGCAGTTGTGTTGGTATGGCTGTGTTTCGGTTTGAAGGATGGGATATGGCGTGAATTTACAGGGTACAGAGGAATAACCTCTGAGTCCTCAGGAATAGCAACGCATGGGGGGTATCATGGGCGAAACAATATACTCTGTTATGCCCATGGTACTGCTCATGTCTATAGGCGACGGTTACCACGTTACAGGTTGGCCGTCAGCTTGTTTGCCATTCTAAGTTGTATATAAAAAAAATTTAGACAATCATATATTCCTATTTTAAACTAAACAGGAGTATACGAACCAACAGCGGCGAAAGCCCAGTTTGCATTACATTGTTACATTATTTAGCATTGAAAAATACATACAAATTCAAATTTTCACGCATTTACGATCAACCCCTGTTTTTTATCGGGATTTTTATATACCGCAATAGGGTTGTAAGATGGTAATCGAATATAATCATTTTAGTAGGATAAATTTTCATGTATAGTTCTCGAAATAATGTATATAGTAAAACAACGTTTGCCGAGTCAGCTAGTACTGTTATAATATTTCAGTTCTTCGCAATGGCTTTGAATATGACTATTTCAGTCCATTGATAACCTAAACATTTAGCTTAATTTTCAAAATATTGAAAACAAATATTGGTATTTCTGTAATAATATTTAAAATTATAAAAATGAAATGAAAATCGTTGAAATTTAAAAATACATACCAAAAATAGTATTAGGGTGACGCATATTGTCTTCGTTAGACGACTTTAAATTTTGTTTAAATATCTCGAATCTACTTTACTTGTCTTCATTGTTAGCATATTGTTTGTCGTAATCTAAAATAAACTGTTCAAAAAGTGATTCTACATCTTTTAAATTATAAACAATTTTTTCTGGTGTTACAGTTTTTTGTAATGTATAGGCTGAAGAAATCCTTTCTCCATACAAGAATAATAATAGAATTAGCATAATTTTGACGAAAATGCAACTTTATAATTTGCATAAAAGCTGTATAATTTATAGCAGTTTAAATATCTAAAAAATGTTAAGGTAACGTATCTTTGACAATTGTTTTAACAATTTACAGATAGGACATATAAGAAACAAATTCACATTTACAATATTAGTAAGGATGATAATCATAAACCTCTAAGGTCAAAAACATTTTTTTTTTTTGATGGGTGAAAATGGTGTGGTAACCCCGCCTGCGCTAACGAGATACGCTGGCGGAGCACCAGTGAAGGGTGATAGATGAGAATGAAAACAGGCCAGTTAGCCCATCATGATGAATTCATCAGGAATTAACCATGACAGTTTCCAGGGGGAACCGCCAGTAGGTCGACCTGGTTGGGTATATTGCTAGCATTGGGATTCTCAGTCTCCATTACTAACAATCCCTTTCCCCCCAAGGTCAAAAACATATTACATGTCTGGCTTGTTTTAAAACAAAACTTATGCATATCTCTAATATGTATTTAAAAAACGAACAGAGTTTCGTGTCTCGGGTCAAACTGTTTATAATTACTCCTCTCCATACAAAGGTTGCCTGCAAGAGATCGCTCTTAGCGATAAGGCCGCCCATTGTTTTCTCATTGTGATTATTTCTTGTAAATGTTTATATTTATAATAAGTTTACTATTATAATCTTTTGAAGGAAACAATAAAGCGTATCCATCTATCTATCTATATTATAGAAAAAATGAAATGAATATTAAGCAATTTATACAATTTTCAGATTTGATACTAGAATTTGTTACTAATATTATTTGGTTATTAGGGAGTAAAATAAAATATAATAGTCTTCAATCTTATTTATCCAAGAATCCCAAGAATGAAGAAAGAAGTGCTAAAAGAAAGAAATCATAATGCAAATAAAAATATAAGATAGAATCACATACAAAGTCTTTTGACCAGCAACGTCACAAGAATAAGAATATTTTTAAATCAAGTAGAGTTAATTATAAATATTTTTAATAGTTTAGAATGCAATTTCAGCTTAGAACAACGGCCAAGAAATTATTGCTTTTTTAAATAAAAGACTACATTATAAGTTTATATTAATATAGGCTTACAAACAGAACAAGGGTTATTACAATTATTAATCAAATCAAGTCCATTATTGTAAATTTTATATTAAACTAGCTGACCCCGTCAACGTTGTTTTACCACTTATTGTGAAATATAAAATCGGAATTAAAATACAGGGGTTGATTGTAAAACGATGAAAATTTTAAGTAGTATGTATTTTTCAATGCTAAATCATAATAAAATAAAAATGAAAAAATTTGTAAAAAAAAAAAATTGAGGAGGGTCACCCTTATCATTGACGGGTATAAAAAATAGATGTATGCCGATTCTCAGACCTACCCAATATGCACACAAAATTTCATAAAAATCGGTAAAGCCGTTTCGGAGGAGTTTGGTAACAAACGGTGTCACGGACACGAGAATTTTATATATAAGATTATATGTCAAACAAAATATTTTGATATATTTCAAACTTAATTCGTGATATAGAAAATAAATTATCATTAAGTAACAGTAAGCAATATTATTTTTTGGGGAGACACTCGTGCTTTTTATGTTGTATCTATACTATTGTTTTATTTTTGTTTGTTTTGTTCTTGTTTTGTATGCTACTGTGTGAGTCGCATTGATTTTTTAAATAAATTCTTTCTTTCTTTCTTTCATGCTAATAGTAGAATTGTAATAATAAAGGGTTATTGTAGAATAGTTAATTTATGAAAGCAGCAACAGGCGTTGAAATGTAAATTAATTTGTTCCACAGTTTTAGAAGCAAAAATAAAATGACTCAATTTGTGAGATCATGCCAAGAATTTTTAAATTGTAAACTAAATAAGTTTACAATTTAAAAATTCTTGGCATGTAATTTTAAAATTGTTCATAAACAAAATGATTTAATTCTTTATGTTATCTAAATAATTTGGAGTATGCATACATTGCGTTATTTTTATAGCACGCAAATATTTTTAAAGTTGATAACAAAAACGGTCAGTTTGAACACAGTATATAAATGAATCAATCTAAGTATGTAATCACAAACCCTATTGAAATACAATGTTGGTACTTACTATATTATTTTTATATGGAGGAAGTGCTTTAGCAGTATCGAAGTTACCAGATAAAATATTATACGATGTGAACCAAGCCGAAACGTTGTTTGATCAATTTATGCAGACATATGACAAGCAGTATACAAGTAAAGAGGAGAAGCAAAAGAAACTAAACGTCTTTAAAGAAAATCTGCAAATTATTAACGAGAAAAATGCAGAGCAATCTCTTGCTGTTTTTGGTATGTATCTTTTTTTTTTTTATTTAATTTTTTTATTTATTTATTCTTTATTGACCACATTACAAAAAATGTCTGGTACAAAAGGCGGACTTGATACTATATTTTCTCTCCCAGTCAACCTTTGGCAAAACAGAAATTTTATTACGCGGTGAATAAATTACAACACATACAATAGAGAACTACTGCACATTATGATTATATAAATATACATACATGAATACAATAAACAAATATTACATAAATATACAAATATGTAATACAAATACCTACATATAGTTGTATTTATTGTTTAATAAGATTTTATTATTATAATTTTAGCTTTCATATAAATGTAACATGCCATTGAATGTCATATGATCTCGGCATAGATTAGGCGAACCCTCCCTCTCCTGTGGTTGTCATAAAAAGCGACTAAGGAAGGGCGAGGAATGGGCAGCAACGTTTCTCTTAAAATATCTCCAAAGCTTAATTGCGATTGCCAATATGTCTGGCAAGTGTGGCAACTACTGGCAAAACCTCCTAGGGAGAGGGTTATGTTCAGCAGTGGACAGTTAAAGGCTGATATATATGATGATGTAAATTGAATCTGAAAAAACTTATTTTACAAATCAGTTTTTTCAGATTGTTACCAGGTTGAATTTCTTGCACGAATTTATCAATATTATTGATGTTATGAATTACACTTAGTATTATTATTTATATAAAATTGATTTCAATTAATAAAGATTACTAAAATATATGCAAAATATATTTCGTTGATTTTTATTTTAATAATTTTAACATAACATCCAACATTTCTATTAAAAACGAATCGTTTATAATTGAATGTTAAAAAAGTTTGATTACAGTTCTGTGAAAACAAAAAGAATCATTATAATCGCTCTACAGTTGGAACATAATAAAAAGGTCAACAACATTGAATGCCTATAACATTTTTGAAATTACTAACGAGAATCATTGCTTTCAAAATTGAACGTAAATTGTTAATAATCAAATAATTAAAACAATTTCTCTTTTAAGGGATCACACAGTTTATCGATTTAACTGCAGAAGAATTCAGACAGTTTGCAACGTGCTTAAATACTACAATAAATGACAAAAAATGTAAACAATATCAGTACACCGATTTACCAACTGCGCCCGATTCGTTTGATTGGAGAGAGAAAAACGTGGTGACAAGAGTAAAAAGCCAAGGTGGATGTGGGTCTTGCTGGGCGTTTAGTGCAATTGGTAAGACAATTAATATAATTATCAGATACCAGTGGGAGACTTTGTACAAAAGACGTTTGCTTCGGCACCTCGGTCCCATTCGTGCTTCTACCGTGAAGCAGTTGTGTTTGCATGGCTGTGTTTCGGTTTGAAGGGATATCCTCATTTCGGATTGAAGGGTGGGATATGGCAGTGAATTTACAAGGTACAGAGGAATAACACCTGAGTCCTCAGGAATGGCAACGCACGAGAGGTATCATGGGCGATACAGTATACTCTGTTATGTCCATGGTACTGCTCATGTCGGCGACGGTTACCACTTTTCATTGGGTGGACCGTCAGCTTATTTACTATTTTAAGTTGCATAAAAAAATATAATTAATAGTATACATGATGATTTTGCCTTGCTTTGCCTTGCTGTGTGGTCCGAGTATAAAATAGGCCAGGGATGGCCAACAGTGTCTCTCTTAAAACATCTCTAACCCTTAAATGCCTGAAGTTTCAAATTTGATACCGGGGTTTGCATTGTTTCATTGTTAAATAAATTTAAATATTTTGATTACCGTAATGCCTAAAGTATCAAAAATAATACCAAATGTTTTTTTCAAAATAAATATATAAAAATATCGTTTTGATACACGACACTTTCGTACACTTATGTTTTTTTTTTTATTTGATTTAAAAAATCAGGCTTTTAAGGGCTAAAGCCTAACTGCGGGTGTCAATCCGCGTAGCAACTACTGTCAAACCTCTCCTAAAGGAAGACAGTTTAAAGCTGATATAATGATGATTTAAGTCAGGTTATCTATAAGATATCTTGTATTTTTTAGCTATAAAGGCGATTTTTAATAATCAATATAAATATTAATAAGCATAACAGAATGTCTATTACAAGACTTCCCTCTCTCTCTCTCTACCACAGTTTGTAACGATATTTTGTATGCAATAAAGAATTTATTATAAGACATATATATATATATATATATATATATATATATATATATATATATATATATATATATATATATATATATATATATATATATATATATATATATATATGTTTCAGGGAATGTAGAAAGTGTCTATGCCATCAAACATAAGAAACAGATCGAACTATCTGAACAACAGCTGGTCGACTGTGACCAAACTAATAAAGGATGCGACGGTGGAATTATGTCGAGAGCTATCCAGTAAGATATTAAAAAGATGGACCACAGGGAGATTTTGTATAAAAGTCGTTTGCTTGGACACCTCTGTCCCATTCGTGTTTCTACCGTGAAACAGTTGTGTTTGCATGGCAATGTTTCGGTTTGAAGGGTGGGATTTGGCAGTGAATTTATAGGGTATAGAGGAATAACACCTGAATCCTCAGGATCGGCAACGTATGGGGAGTATCATGGGCGAAACAGTATATTCTGTTATGTCCATAGTACTGCTCATGTCTATAGACGACGGTTACAACTTTCCATCAGGTGGGCCGTCAGCTTGTATGCCATTCTAAGTTGTATAAAAAGAACATAAAGTAATGTAAATCAGAAAATTGTAATATGTATGTTAAAGGGAAATTGATAAGTAGATCTGTCTTGAACTGACGGAATCTGTGAAAGAAAAATAAATCTATCCCATTGATATTATCGCGAAGCAAGTTTCTGTTTCAATTCGAAGGCTAAAACATTATAGTAATTTTTTGTCTTTTTTGTACCACAAAGATGTCAAACAGGCATATAGCCTGTCTGATAGTAAATGATCACTACAGTCTATGGACGCTTGCAACACTAGGGGTCTCACGTACGCATTGCCGACCCTGAAGAAACCTTAATGTATCCTTTTTGAAGAATCCTATACTGGAGTCTCTAGGGAAAACCTTGGCAAGGATCTTATTCCACAGACAGAGCGTTCGTGGGAGAAAATTTCTTTGGAACTGCACTATATAATAATTACAGGAACCGAAGGCATAAGGTCATAGTCTTGAAGTACGAAACACATAAGAGGTACCATAATCATCACAGTGCTTTCTGTGATGTTCATGGGGCAGACCATATTTATTAGTGTCAATTATTGCTTCCCATCAGGCGGATCGACAGCTTGTTATTTACTCTAAAAATTATAATAATTTATAGGAATCATATTTATCTTCAAAGTTTCCTTACTATGTTTGGTTGACTCTTGAGTCCGAAAGTAGCATAGCAACCTCAAAGATACGCAAATAAAGTCGACATACTTAATCATCGATTCATCATCATCGATTCAGCTATTATCCGTCCACTGCTAGACATAGGCCTCCCCTATGGACCGCCATAAGCAACGGTCCTAAGCCACCTGCATCCATTGACTCCCTGCAATGCATTTGAGGTCGTCACTCCGGCTAGCGGGGGGGGGAGGTCGCTTCGCTTTACTTGTTGGTTCTTCAAGCTGTGATATAATGCATTGCTTACGATAAATTTATTTTTAAGGTATCTTGAAAAAGCAGGTGCAATGTTGGAAAGGGATTATCAATATGTGGGCAAACAACAGAGATGCCAATATAATGGACAGCATGTGAAAGTGAAAGTATCCGATTGCAGGGAGTATACAGAATCTTTCGAATCAGAAGATGACCTGAGGAATATATTGGCTAACACCGCACCACTTTCTATTGGTAATGTTGATTATAAATGCTCCACTCATATATACTATTACGACTGATTACAAAATTTTACTTCAAAATAGGGAAAAATATCATATTGAATTTGATGCTGGAACAAACATACAGAGAGACTAAATTTCTAAACTAAATTATTGTTCTGACTTCTTCTTGGTCTTATTTATCTCTTATATCAATTTTTCTTAAACATCTCCCATGCACAGATGTCATCTAATTACAGTTTAATTATATTAGTATATATATATATATATATTGAAATAAATAAAAATGTACATTATTTTGTACTTATGAGTAAATTGATTTTTCTCAGCAGATAACAACATTCCGAACTCAACGGTAAAATCTTAAAAAAGTGACCATTTATAAGAAGTTGTAAATAAGTCTATTTAAATAAAAAAAAAAAACTGTACCTAAACTTTAATTTTTTAATTAAATATGATATTTTCTCTGCAGGCTTAGATGCATCTGATATTCAACATTACACGGGCGGAATACTTACATGTAAAACAACTCAACCCAACCACGGTGTACTTTTAGTTGGCTACGGTGTAGGTGCGTATTGTAATTATTATTTTTTATTACATATTATTTCCAAATTTATAATTTATATTATTTTTATTTTAAACTTTCGCCTTGTTTCCATATATTTTGAATACACAATCGGGACATAACGCGATGTAAAAGCTTTTACAGTTAAATAGTACTTAAATACCTGCTTCTTTATTGCCGACGTTTCGACGTGGATTACACTACGTCGTGGTCACGACAGTACTGAACTGATTGACATCTTTGTCTGGCAGCTCACGCGGTCTCTTCGCGTACCCTCACACTGTCGCCATTATTATCTAAAGCTACCCTCACACCACACTGCACTTATGGTATCACGGTAGCTTCCAGACGAAGACGCCGCTCACTTCAGTCCTGTCGTGACCACAACGTGGTGCAATCTACGTCGAAACGTCGGTTCAGTAAAATATTTATCCCTATCAGTTATCGTACTGCGTAAAAAATAAGAGATCCTCTTTTATGCATATTACCTTTTTCAACATTGCAGCCATTTTTTCTTCGATCTTCTTGTTCATTCAAGTCCTTATTCAATATCTTCATCAGGACCTAACATTCTTTCGCATGGCATGCTCATAATATTTAACTACAATTTACTTTTTCAGAAAAGGATAAACCGTTTTGGACCTTCAAAAACTCTTGGGGCCCAAATCACGGCGAAGAAGGATATTTCAGGCTACTTCGGGGCGTAAACTCTTGTGGTATGTTAAAGCATCAAATCGTCTCCTCTGTAGTGGAGTAATGTAAAAATCACTTGACATGCACTTTCATATTTAAAATTAATGGTGTTGGTTTATTTGTCACGCTAATAACGTATGTACTTTGTTTTGAAATTTATTTACATCTAAATATTGTAAAAAAGAGTCAATAAATTATATATAGTAAATAAATAATGTAATATTATTCATATTTGATAACCTCGATGGAGTAGCAGTTAAATATACTACGTCACCATCTAGTTATACGGATTTCGGGATGTTTCCAACATTTATATTGATCTAGATATTTTCTTAATACATGACTAAAATAGAAATTAGCAACATTGTTTAAAGAAATAAATCTGGGAACTGAATACTATTTCAAAGGTCTAAAAAGGTTAAAACGTTCTTAAGCCTCGTGATAACCGTTCAGTTTGGGTGCCGGACGGTTAACACTAGGCTTCGAGTAGCAATCTAATATTTTGTCTGAAGATGATGAAAGAACGCAGATCTTTTTTTATACCACTGAGGTGGCAAACAAGCATACGGCCCACCTGATGGTAAGCGGTTACCGTAGCCTATGAACGCCTGCAATACCAGAGGTATTACGCGCGCGTTGCCGACCCTGAAGAAACCTCTTTACCCCCCTTTTGAAGAACCCCATGCTGTAGTCTCTTGGGGTTAGGTATGTATGAAAGAACGCACGTTAGTTCCTACTAAAGATTGATTTCTTTAGCAGGTTTTATTCATTCCCCAACAAGCAATTGTTTGTCTGAGAATATATTTAAAAATCTCATATTTATTCAAGAAAACGTTTACTGATTAATGAGTTCGACTAGGAGTAGTTCTATTCTATTTACATTAACAAATACATGACTTAAAAATATTTTATATTTCGTATTTAAAATACACATGGTATAGTATATTATATTATATTTATATATAGTATATTTTACCAGAGGGAGACTTTGTATAAAAGTCGATTGCTTGGGTACCTCTGTCCCATTCGTGTTTCTACCGTGAAGCAGTTGTGTTTGCATGGCTGTGTTTCGGTTTGAAGGCAGAGATATGGCGTAAATTTACAGGGTACAGAGAAATAATATCTGAGTCCTCAGGAATGGCAACGCATGGGGGGTATTATGGGCAAAATAGGATACTCTGTTATGTCCCTAGTACTGCTCATGTCTATAGGCGACGGTTACCACTTTCCATCAGGTGGGCCGTCAGCTTGTTTGTCATTCTAAGTTGTATAAAAAAAGTATTTAAACGGTTTTATTTAGCTCAACCTGTACGGTATTTATTTATTTGGGTCAAAATTAGAAATTGGAATTTAAGCACCTTCCCGTTGTCAGATTGATCTGAAATTTGGTACACACATTTAATTTAGATGACAATACAATATAATAAAATCCATAACATTATAAATCTAAGATGGCCGCCGATACAAAATGGCGGATTACATATTTTTCCTTAACCCCCTCAATATGGGTATCAAATGAAAGGGCTACACTAGTAAAACACGATGATTATGTCAAAATTTAAAATTCAAGATGGACGCCGTTCCAATATGGCGGACTAGGTACATATTTTTCCACAACCACCACAATATGGGTATCAAATAATAGGACTACACTGCGACACCCAGAGACTAGACACTCGGACACTAGACACTCAGACGCTAGACCCTCAGACACTAGACACTCAGACACCCAGACCCTAGACACACAGACACTAGACACTCGGATACAAGACACTCAGACACTAGACACTCGGACACTAGACACTCAGACACTAGACACTCGGATACAAGACACTCAGACACTAGACACTCGGACACTAGACACTCAGACACTAGACACTCGACACTAGACACTCGACACTCAGACACTAGACACTCGACACTCGACACTCGACACTCGACACTCGACACTCGACACTTGACACTCGACACTCAGATACTAAACACTAGACACTAGACACTCCGATTTTCGGATACAAGACACTCAGACACTAGACTCTCAGACACTTGACACTCAGACACCCAGACACTAGACACTCAGACACTAGACACTCAGATACTAGACACTCGAAACTCGACACTCGACACCACAATATGGGTATCAAATAATAGGACTACACTGCGACACTAAACACTAGACACTAGACACTCCGATTTTCGGATACAAGACACTCAGACACTAGACTCTCAGACACTTGACACTCAGACACCCAGACACTAGACACTCAGACACTAGACACTCAGATACTAGACACTCAGATACTAGACACTCAGATACTAGACACTCTAAACTCGACACTCGACACTTGACACTCGACACTCGACACTCGACACTCGACACTCGACACTCGACACTTAGACACTGGACACTCAGACACCCAGACACTAGACACTCAGACACTAGACACTCGGATACAAGACACTCAGACACTAGACTCTCAGACACTTGACACTCAGACACCCAGACGTTAGACACTCAGACACTAGACACTCGACACTCGACACTCGACACTCGACACTCGACACTTGACACTCGGCACTCGACACTTAGACACTAAACACTAGACACTAGACACTCAGACACTCGACACTCAGATACTTGACACTCGGCACTCGACACTCAGACACTTGACACTCGGCACTCGACACTTAGACACTAAACACTAGACACTAGACACTCAGACACTCGACACTCAGACACTCGACACTCAGACACTAGACACTCGACACTCAGATACTAAACACTAGACACTAGACACTCCGACACTCGGATACAAGACACTCAGACACTAGACTCTCAGACACTTGACACTCAGACACCCAGACACTAGACACTCAGACACTAGACACTCGGATACAAGACACTCAGACACTAGACTCTCAGACACTTGACACTCAGACACCCAGACACTAGACACTCGACACTCGACACTCGACACTCGACACTTGACACTCGACACTCGACACTCGACACTCAACACTCAGACACTCAGACACTAGACACTCAGACACTCGACACTAGACACTCAGACACTCAGACACTCAGACACTAGACACTCAGACACTAGACACTAGACACTCAGACACTAGACACTCAGACACTAGACAATCAGACACCCAGACACTAGACATACAGACACTAGACATTCGGATACAAGACACTCAGACACTAGACTCTCAGACACCCAGACACTAGACACTCGGACACTCGACACTCGACACTCGACACTCGACACTTGACACTCGGCACTCGACACTTAGACACTAAACACTAGACACTAGACACTCAGACACTCGACTCAGACACGACACTCAGACACTTGACACTCGGCACTCGACACTTAGACACTAAACACTAGACACTAGACACTCCGATTTTCGGATACAAGACACTCAGACACTAGACTCTCAGACACTTGACACTCAGACACCCAGACACTAGACATACAGACACTAGACATTCGGATACAAGACACTCGACACTCAGACACTAGACACTCGACACTCGACACTTGACACTCGACACTCAGATACTAAACACTAGACACTAGACACTCCGATTTTCGGATACAAGACACTCAGACACTAGACTCTCAGACACTTGACACTCAGACACCCAGACACTAGACACTCAGACACTAGACACTCAGATAGTATATATATATAGTATATATATCGACACTCGACACCACAATATGGGTATCAAATAATAGGACTACACTGCGACACTAAACACTAGACACTAGACACTCCAATTTTCGGATACAAGACACTCAGACACTAGACTCTCAGACACTTGACACTCAGACACCCAGACACTAGACACTCAGACACTAGACACTCAGATACTAGACACTCAGATACTAGACACTCGAAACTCGACACTCGACACTTGACACTCGACACTCGACACTCGACACTCGACACTCGACACTCGACACTCGACACTTAGACACTGGACACTCAGACACCCAGACACTAGACACTCAGACACTAGACAATCGGATACAAGACACTCAGACACTAGACTCTCAGACACTTGACACTCAGACACCCAGACACTAGACACTCAGACACTAGACACTCGGATACAAGACACTCAGACACTAGACTCTCAGACACTTGACACTCAGACACCCAGACACTAGACACTCGACACTCGACACTCGACACTCGACACTCAACACTCAGACACTCAGACACTAGACACTAGACACTAGACACTCAGACACTCGACACTAGACACTCAGACACTCAGACACTCAGACACTCGGATACTCAGACACTAGACACTCAGACACTAGACACTCAGACACTAGACACTCAGACACTAGACAATCAGACACCCAGACACTAGACATACAGACACTAGACATTCGGATACAAGACACTCAGACACTAGACTCTCAGACACCCAGACACTAGACACTCGGACACTCGACACTCGACACTCGACACTCGACACTCGACACTTGACACTTAGACACTAAACACTAGACACTAGACACTAGACACTCAGACACTCGACACTCAGACACCCAGACACTAGACACTCTAACACTAGACACTCGACACTCGACACTCGACACTCGACACTCGACACTTGACACTCGACACTCGACACTCGACACTCAACACTCAGACACTCAGACACTAGACACTCAGACACTCGACACTCTAGACACTAGACACTCAGACACTCAGACACTCAGACACTCAGACACTCAGACACTCAGACACTAGACACTCAGACACTCGACACTCAGACACTAGACAATCAGACACCCAGACACTAGACATACAGACACTAGACATTCGGATACAAGACACTCAGACACTAGACTCTCAGACACCCAGACACTAGACACTCGGACACTCGACACTCGACACTCAGACACTAAACACACATCTCACCAGATGGATGGTGATGATGTGGTCTTAGACGAAGCTTGTAGACTCGCGAATAGCCTATTTACAATTGCTTTAAATTAGTTGTGATTATTTTTATTAAACTTAAGATTGTGTGACGTTAGAGGGGCAGATAAAAAAAATAGGAATAGAATAGAATAGAATAGAATAGAAATCATTTATTCAAATAAACTTACATTGAAGCACTTTTGAAAAGTCATTACATTTTTTTTAATTTACCGCTCGTTCGGAAAGCTGTCTCATCACAAGAAGAACGAGCAAGAAACTTGCGTGATGCTCTTTTAAATAATTTTATTATTATTTTACATTTTTAAGTTTAATTGTGTGAATACAAACCACCAATTAGCACTAATTCAATTAAATACTCAAAAAGAAAAAAAAATTGAATACATAACCAACTGGTTAAACAATTAATAAGAGGAAATCAGTCATAGTGATTAGAGCAGACCAGTCCCTACAAGCAGCACCCGTTCACGAGTATGACGGATGAGCCAGCCATCACTGCGCTCGACCATATTTTAGGGAGCCCAATGACCCGGCCCACCACGCCGCCACAAGTCTGGACATTTTAGTGAGCATGACTACTCAAAACACTAGACCACGTCAAAGCTACTCACAATTGCCATCTGATAGTTATAGTATTCACATTTTACATAAGAATGCATGCGGCAATTAATACAAAAAACCGCTACGCTTTCATATTTCTAAAATTAATCAATTAAATCAAGAAAGCAATGAGAAAAAAAAATTATAACGTTGTATGCTAATAAACTAATTATTTACTTGATATGTTGTCATCTATGAATTCGTCTATCCTGTAATAGGCTTTCTTACATAAAAATTGTTTAATATAAGATTTGAATTGCCTCTCTGTCAGATTTAATGCAGATTCCGGCAGTTTATTATAAAATCTTATGCAATTACCATAGAATGAATTACTGATTTTGTGCAGACGGCATTTAGGTAAAATAAGCTTATTTATATTGCGTAAGTTTCTACTTGTACAGTCTTTGAGTTTTTTAAAACTCGCTAAGTTCTTCCGTGTATACATAATATTTTCATAAATGTATTGTGAAGTAACTGTGAGGATATTTGAGTCTTTAAAGCACTGACGTAATGACTCTCTTGAACCCATACCATAAATAGAACGTATGGCTCTCTTTTGTAAAACAAATATAGTATTTATATCGGCTGCTTTACCCCACAGCAGTATGCCATAAGACATTATGCTATGGAAATAACTAAAATATACAAGTTTAGCCGTCGCCACGTCTGTTAATTGCCTAATTCTTCTAATTGCATATGCAGCAGAACTGAGTCTACTGGCCAATTTTGAAATATGGGGCCCCCATTGTAATTTCGAGTCCACTGTTATACCTAAAAAAACTGTATCATTAACAAAATTTACTATTTCGTCATTAAGCAATAACTGTGTATTTATTAGTCTTACATTAGGAAGTGTAAATTTTATACACTTTGTTTTGCTGGAATTTAATAATAGGTTATTACATGTAAACCAATTTAATATTGCAGACATAGCACAATTTACATCGTCTAATTGATTACTTTGACGTCCAATTTTAAACACTAACGAAGTATCATCCGCAAACAGCACTATATCTGCAATTTTCTCTACCATAAAGGGAAGGTCATTTATGTAGATTAAAAAGAGAAAGGGGCCTAAGATTGACCCTTGTGGAACGCCCATCTTAATATTAGCTCCCTTAGATTTTACACCGTCAATATCTACAGTTTGAACCCTATCCTCTAAATAAGTTCTCATTAATTTTAGATCATTATCTCTTATACCATAATGTTCGAGCTTGTACAAAAGCGTTTTATGATCCACACAATCAAATGCCTTTGATAGGTCACAAAAAACTCCGAGTGCATCCTGTGACCTCTCCCAAGATTCGAAAATATGTGTCATTAGCGCAACACCTGCGTCAGTGGTAGACTTGCCGGCGGTGAAACCATATTGCTGACTGTGAAGCAGTCCGTTAACCCTGAAGTGATGTAACATTTGATTTAACATTATCTTTTCAAACACCTTACTTAGAACTGGCAAAATAGATATAGGTCTATAGTTCCCTGGCTCAAATTTATCTCCTGATTTAAATAGTGGGATTAATTTGCTAAATTTCATTAAATGTGGAAAAACGCCATTATCAATACATTTATTAAAAATAGTGGCTAGATATGGAGCAACAATATCTATGAAAGAACTAACTACTTTTACAGACATGCCCCAAAGGTCTTCCGTATTTTTTAAATTTAGCTGTTTGAATATTTTTATGATATGAAAGGGGCTAACATGTGAAAATTTAAATCTTAAAGAACAACAACCGATATTAGTCTCTAGTAATTTTTTTGCTCGAGATTGAGATGAGTCCAGAGAAGATGTAATATCAATCGGAATATTAGCAAAAAAATCTTCAAAAATATTAACTACATCTTTTGTTGTTGTTATTAATTTATTATCATAATTTAATGTAAATTGATTACAGGCTATTTTAGATCTTCCAGTTTCTTTATTTATAATGCTCCAGATGGTTTTAATTTTGTCAGAAGACTGCTTAATTTGTTTATTAAAATAATTAGACTTAGCCATAATACAAACTTTTTTAAAAATTTTAGAATAATTTTTTACATAAGTGGTGAATTTGTCATCAAATCGATATTTTTTTTGATCGTATAAATCAAACTTAGATACCTCGTTAGTAAGCGGTAGTTATACTACCCAAGTTAAGGTAATAGGTTAAAACGTGCCGAGGACTGTATGGCATTAGGGTGGATAAAAATGTAATGTCGTAAGCGCTTCCCCCTCAAGATTGGGCGCATCTTGTTGTATATTAAGCCTTGCCCCTTTACTGGACTGCGGGGGGGGGGGGGGGGTCGACCGTCAAAATGCCCCTTAATCGTGGGAACAACATGGTAACAATAAACAAAAAATACCAACAAATATAAATAAGACTGGAGGCTTACCATCAGTATTTGAAATATTTGTAGGTGCAAAAGTAATGTTGCGGTCCAACATTGACGTTACAAAAGGATTGGTAAATGACGCTATAGGCCACATTACAGAAATTTTTTGGCCTCAGTTCCGTCGAACCCAAATGTACGAAACAGATATATCATCAGTTTTAATTGACTTTGGCACAGACGACATGCACGTTATTTACCCTAAAGCCATACAGTTTCCAGCAAAATTCAATTATGGTACGGCTGAAAAAAGGATGTTGCCCTTAGTTTTGTCATGAGCATTCACCGTCCATAAAATGCAGGGCAGCACCGTCGACCATGCAGTAGTATATTTGGGCTCAAAATGGTTTGAGGAAGGACAAGCTTACGTGGCTCTAAGTCGAGTCAAGTCTCTGGAAGGGCTATGTATTGAGGAATTAGATTGTACTAAATTATCAGGTAAGAAACCATGTAATAATGATGCACTGAATGAATTAAATAGAATGAGGAATATTCGGTAAACAATTTCACTAAATACTAAAAACAAGAAAATAAAAATCGGTAAAAAAACTTTTAAGTTAAACGGTTTTATTTTATGTGCACTGAAAACTACAAAATAAATAAATAGTTACTTACCTATCAACCTACGTACCTTCTAGTTCAGAAATATTTTAGTACTAGGCAGAATAGCTTTTAGGCATATTAGACTAAAATAAAAACGTGGGGCCCCTCTGAAATCATACCTATAGCAGAGCATATCTTATACTTTGGTAGATCATGAGCTCGGCGTTCGCTGGTGAAGCCGTAACGGCTGGTTATTGATGGTCAAAACCTCCAGTTACGATTATAGTAAGTCGATTCAGCGGACCCTGGACTCCGGAGCTATGAGGTTTCGGATGCGACCGGGATAAACCGCTAGGATGATGATGATGACGATTATAATAAGTCGATGTAATCCACACTTAGTATAGTAGAAAGTAATACAGAAATAGTTAATGGGCCCCACGTTTTTATTTTAGTCTAATATGCCTAAAAGCTATTCTGCCTAGTACTAAAATATTTCTGAACTAGAAGGTCAAAATACCTACTTGTTATAGTGTGGGCTGCTTAGTTTACCTACCAAGCAAACCCTGGTGTTAGTGTTCTCTCATGAACTGCCTTTCGGCCGCTGACATGGTTCATGTTATGACAACCACTACCATCAGAGATATTAATGACCGAGATCACCTACGTAGGTTGATAGGTAAGTAACTATTTATTTATTTTGTAGTTTTCAGTGCACATAAAATAAAACCGTTTAACTTAAAAGTTTTTTTACCGATTTTTATTTATAAATTGAATTTGAATTAATGCCATATATGTACTTTGCCCTGTTCTTAATGTAGGGATATCGAGGGCTTATCTATTATAATAAATAAAAAAATATTACAATAATACAGTAAAAATAAAAACGGCTAACATATCTGATATAAATATTTTATTATGTTTAAAATATAGTATATAAGAACAACACTAGAAGAAGAAAGAAAACAAGTAGGGATGGGTAATATCGATACTGCTCTGGTATCTATATATTGGATAACTGATATTTAATATATATCTTATTGGGCCAATGAATAGTTATCGTAACTAAAATACATCCTCCACACGGTTCCCTCTGGAAACCATTTAATTCCTGTGGAAATTGTCACGATGGAATAACTGATCTGACATCATTCTCACCTATCATTGCTTATCGGTTTCCTGCCAGCGTATACCAATAGTACAGGTGGGATTACCATTCCATTATCATCAATAGAAAAAACTAGAATACATAGATATTGCTGTATATTATCGACCTCTAGAAATACAAAAAAAAAATATTATGAACAATACAGAAATCTTTTATTGTTCTATGAGAAAAGAATAATAAATAGATCATGCAACATGGGAAATTATTAATTGGTAATTGAGCAGGCCACAAGAGTTGAGTCCCCTCTTGATTTTGATGTAACCACCATTGCCCCAAGTTGATCCCCACGAGTTCTTTATTATCCATATTGGTTCACCGTTCTCTATAATTGTATAAGAAAACAATAAATCGCTTAAACGAATCGCTAATTGCTGAATGTAAAGTGCATTGCTTGCATTAACAATTTTTTATGACTACATGTGAATTACTTTCTTTTTTTATATTAAGAGGTGGCAAACAAGAATACGGCCCACCTGATTGCAAACGGTTACCGTAGCCTATGAGCGCTTGCAATACCAGGGGTATTACGTGCACAAACCAACAAACCCTGAAGAATTTTCTTAACCCTATTTTGAAAAATGCCATGTTGTAATCCCTTGAAAAACCTCAATAGGGAGCCATACCATTAAAATCGCTTATTTGCGAAGCAACATGAATATAAATATAATAATGTTATATCCATGGTACTGCTCATGTCTATAGGCGACGGTTACCACTTTCCATCAGGTGGGCCGTCAGCTTGTTTGCCATTCTAAGTTGTATAAAAAAAAAATTTTTTTTTAGTGCTGGCTCGATACAACGTTTATAAATATTTGAAGCCACTCTTTGTGAAATAATATTTTTGGAATTTAACTCTGTAAATACCTTTGAATTTTTTTCCCTAAAATATATAAAGTAGTTATAATTTATTGTTAAAACATATAATATATAATAATTTATATTAAATCTGCATACCATTTCCATATCCAACTAGAAGAACCGCATGAAGTTTGGGACTACTATATGTTCGACAACTTTGCAGAACACCAGCAGTATAGGTTTGGAAATCAGTTGCGTCGACCGCTGAAAATAATAAAAAAATAAAAAGATTAATTAATATTGTAATTCTTTGTGTCGGCAACTGCATGCCCGCAGCAACAAACAGCGCGCTGGTCGTACAGTGCTGCTCGCAGAACCCCGCTAATGACTAAGTTTACCAAAGGGAGACTTTGTACAAAAGTCGATTGCTTGGGTACCTCTGTCCCATTCGTGTTTCAACCGTGAAGCAGTTGTGTTTGCATGGCTATGTTTCGGTTTGAAGGGTGGGATATGGCGTGAATTTACTGGGTACAGAGGAATAACACCTGAGTCCTCAGGAGTGGCAGGGGTATCATGGGCGAAACAGTATACTCTGTTATGTCCATGGTACTGCTCATGTCTATAGGCGACGGTTACCACTTTACATCAAGTGGGCCGTCAGCTTGTTGTCGATATAAGTCATTCTCTCTGTGTTGCCATATTTATCGAAAAATAAGTGTTAAAATTAAAGAAATATGCTTGACTTACCAACGGAAATTGGGCCTTTTTGCTGCAAATAACTTGCTAATGTATTCTCATCAATGCCCTTTAGTTCTATACAACTAGTGACTCTTACATTAGCTTTACCGGGATCGAACTTACACGACGCCTTAGACGCTGTGTAAGGATAATCACCTTCTGGCTCGACACCATTCATCAAGTACCTGTAATAATTAGAATTCAGAAAAAGATATACAAAAAAGAATAACTAACTTTTATTTCCTAAAATTACATAAAATTTTGGAACTTTAAAATACAGTTTTATAAATACTAAATATATAAAAATTAATGATAAAAGACCGAGGATGAGAAATTGTGATATATTAAAACAAGTATTGAGAATTGATGAGAATAAATGATTAATAAATACGATTTAATTTAAATATATCATAGGGTGACTGCAGAAAAGTCATTTGCTTGGGTATCTTTGTCTCATCCGTGTTTCTGTGTAAAGCAGTTGCGTTTGCGTCGCTCTGTTTCGATTTGAAGGGATATGGCAGTGAATTTACAGAGTACAGAAGCATAACATCTTAGTTCTCAGGAATGACAACGCATGAAGGGTATGAACGACGCAGTATACACCGTTATGTCTATGGCTCTATTCTAGTATTTACTTGACGATTATCACTTTTCATCAGGTGGACTATATACATATATATATATATATATATATATATATATATATATATATATATATATATATTCATGTATAAGGTGTTTCTAATATAAATTTTAATACATTTAAATATGATAATTGACCGTATGGTCCTGGCATAAAATAAGCTACCCCTTCCTTTCCCATGAGTGTGGTAAGAGCCAACTAAGGGAGGGCGAAAGATGGGCAGCAGCGTCCCTCTTAAAACATCTCTAAAGCTTAACTGCGATTGCCAATCCGCCTGCCAAGCGTGGAAACTACTGGCAAAACCCATCAAGGGGTAGGCTTATGTTCAGCAGTGGACAGTTAAAGGCTGATATGATGATGATGATGATGATGATAAAATATAATAATTGCAGAACAAATATTTTGTAAAAAATAAATATGACGCTGCAGTTCAATAAATATTAATAGCTTGCAGTTAATTTCTATGTAGTAACCTTTTCAAAATACATTACTCCAGATGAAATTAATAATCCCCTCTCACAATCCGTATTGCGGACACAGTCAACTAATTGTTGTTCAGAGAGATCCAAAGACTGTCCGTGGACAATAGCGTACTGGGATTCAACATTGCCTGTTCAAAATATAATCATTATTATTTCATCTTAATTATTACAAATATTTACAACAATATATGTAATATAATATAATAGAATATATTAAATTCACACCCACAGACCTCACAAAATTGAAACTACCAACCTGTAGGTCAACACTGCATCAACGAAATTGCTAAGTAGTGACTAATTGAATTAATAATAGAATACCAAAAAAAAAAGAGAATTAATAATAATAATAATAATTTTTATTTGCAAGTTTTGCAAGAATTGCAGTTAAATTATTTTAAATTGAAAATAATTTAACTTCCTTTCCCGTGGATATTGTCGATTACAGGAGAGCGAAAGATGGGCAGCAGTGTCCCTTTTAATACATCTCTAAAGTCTAACTGTGATTGCCAATCCGCTTGCCAAGCATGGCGACTACTGGCAAAACCCTCCAAAGGGGAGGCCTACGTTCAGCAGTGGACAGTAAATGCTGATGTGATGACGATGAATAAGCGTGTTGCAGCCTTTTATTATTAGCATTTCTGTTTTACCTAAGGTTAACTGGGAGAGAATGATACATACGGAGGGAGACTTTGTACAAAAGTCGATTGCTTGGGTACCTCCGTCCCATTCGTGTTTCAACCGTGAAGCAGTTGTGTTTGTATGGCTGTGTTTCGGTTTGTAGGGTGGGATATGACGTGAATTTACAGGGTACAGAGGAATAACACCTGAGTCCTCAGGAATGGCAACGCATGGACGAAACAGTATACTCTATGTCCATCGTACTGCTCATGTCTATAGGCGACGGTTACCACTTTCCATCAGGTGGACCGTCAGCTTGTTTGCCATTTTAAATTGTATAAAAAAAAATTAGCAATATTCAAATTTTCTTTAGAGATTTATCTATTCTATCTTATTTTTCAGTAACAATGCCATATTGTTTATTATAATTTTGAATTAATTTCTCAAAAATGTAAATCTAGTTAACATAATACTTCACGATCACGCGTCGCTCTTCAACAGATTTTGTTTTATATTAAAAAAAAAAAAAAAAAAATATTTGTATGAATTCATTTGTTAATCTATGTAAGTCATAAATGACTTAAAGTGTTTATGTATGTATCTATCTAAATTTGCCATCTATTGGTCCTATTAAAATTTTATATTAAAATTAAATCCAATAAGACTTAATGGAATACATTGCTTTAGACATAAATTAGTGTTTAGACCAGTGTTTCTCAACCTCTTTCTGCCATGCCCCACTTGAACATTTCTAAAATGTTTAGGCCTCCATACATAATTTTTCCCGACAAAGTTTACTTGACGATTCTAATCACCCAGTTAATGTTTTGATAACGTCAAACGAAATTATACCAAATAAATATATACAGCATCTTTTTTTATTTACTTTTTTTGTTAAATTTGGCGCCGATATCTATTCATAGCATTGCATTTAAATGGCATGGAGCAAGAAGGTTAAAATCGCTTCGAGTACATTTTTTATTTGCCCCCCCCCCCCGCCTTAACTATCAAATTGCCCCCCCCCCCACCAATCAAAATATTAGAGTTATAGATGGGTAAAGTCCGATATCGGAGAAAAAGGGATTGTTAGTAATGGAGACTAAAAATCCCATTGCTAGCAATATACCCAACCAGGTAGACCTCCTCGCGGTTCCCCCTGGAAACTATCATGATTAATTCCTGATGGATTCATCATGATGGGCTAACTGGCCTGTTTTCATTCTCATCTATCACCCTTCACTGGTGCTCCGCCAGCGTATCCCGTTAGCGCAGGCGGGGTTACCATACTATTTTCATCCAACAAAAAAAATGTCCGCTATCTATATATTGAGTTCTTCTGGACATTGATGACCAGCCATTGCGATATCTTTTTCTTTTATACAACTTATAATGGTTGAAATGAAAGTTGACGGCTCACCTGATGGAAAGTGGTAACCGTCGCCTATAGACATGAGCAGTACCATGGACAGAGTATACTGTTTCGCCCATGATACCCCCCATGCGTTGCCACTCCTGAGGACTCAGGTGTTATTCCTCTGTACCCTGTAAATTCACGCCATATCCCACCCTTCAAACCGAAACACAGCCATGCAAACACAACTGCTTCACGGTAGAAACACGAATGGGACAGAAGTACCCAAGCAATTGACTTTTGTACAAAGTCTCCCTCTGGTAAATATCGCCCATATCATTAGGATATCTATATTCTTTACATGCGGGTGCTTTTTTTCACTATTATATATTGGCTAACCGATATTTAATATATCTGTTAATAGGTCAATATATGTACATATATTTTAACTCTAATATAAGATATTACTATATATTACCTGCCTTTAATTAGAGTAGCTCTTATTAGGAGGTTTTATGAATTCACATTAGAGTTAGTGTTTTAGTACATATATCTATATAGTACCTATATGATTAAACATTGTATCCTACAAAACAAAATTTGACTTCAATTGTGACATAACTAGTTATTTCAATTTGAAAATTTAACTACTAAACAGATTTTGATAAAATTTCTAAAGGACCAATCTGTAAATTAAGTATATCCTTTCAAATAAAAGAAGAATTTTTCAAATCGGTTTAAAACTGACATAGTAATGACATAAAAACATTAAAAAAATATAACTGAATTGAAAACCTTTTTTTTACACGACTTAGAATGGCAAACGAGCAGTATCATGGACATAACAGAGTATACTGTTTCGCTCATGACACCCCCCCATGCGTTGCCATTCCTGAGGACTCAGATGTTATTCCTCTGTACCCAGTAAATTCACGCCATATCCCACCCTTCAAACCGAAACACAACCATGCAACTGCTTCACGGTTGAAACACGAATGGGACAGAGGTACCTTCTTGGATTATTTTTTTTAAATAGGAGCCAAATGAGCATGCGGCCCACCCGATGGTAAGTGACAGAAAAATCTACATGTTTTGACTGTAATAAAATATTTTTTCAAAAAATCACCTATTTCAATCGTGTTACAAGTTTTCATATAAAGGCCAATAAACTTCACACACGAACAAATTATTTCTATTCATTATACATTAAACAGCTCTACTTTCATCCCGGATCAACCAATATCCCGACAATATGAATGCGAGCAAATAATTGAACGCGGCAAGCACCGGCTAATCCAGGATTCGAACCTGGGACCTCATTGACATCATCTCATGTGTGCAGGCTCCATTGTGGTCGGTTTAATCAATTAATTTTATCGTGCGACTAGTACCTAGGGATGATACGCACGGCTTCATCTAAATACATTGACTGAAGTGGCTCTCATTTGGGATACATCGTGGCCTATTGTTGGATTTTTATTTTGTGTTACTATATCAATTTATGTACATGGCAACGAAACCGAAACTAGGGTAGTACAAACATGAGCTATTATTTCAGGAACTGATATATTTATTTTAAATTTAATTAAATACACCACACATATTTGTCCACAATAATATTATTAAACTATTTTATTAAAATATTTATACATCGTGATACATCGTGGCCTATTGTTGGATTTTTATTTCGTGTTACTATATTAATTTATGTACATGGCAACGAAACCGAAACTAGGGTAGTACAAACATGAGATATTATTTCAAGAGCTGATATCGTCATAGTCGTAGAATACTGACGGACCTGACAAAGATTACATATATAGATCCGTCAGTATTCTACGACTATGACGATATATTTATTTTAAATTGAATTAAATACATCACACATATTTATTCACAATAATTATATTAAATTATTTTACTAGAATAATATAATTAATTACTATTACAATTATATTTATATTATTATTAATAACAATAATCAATTTATTATTAATATTATTTGTTTTTGTTATTTCAAACTTCCATAATTATACAATATTATTATGGCTACTTAGGTATACAATAATAAGTCTGTTACTCTAAGGCTGTCTTGAAAAGATTGCTTTCAGCAGTAAGACCGTATTTTATTGTCTAGCTTATTTCCTATATTGTACAATGCAAATAAAATATACTCATTAATTTTTAAGTAGCCATTAAAATAAATCTAAATCCTAACTTATATCAAATAAAAAATTATTAAAATAAATTAATGAAATAGTTATAAAAACTAACTTAAATTTGAGTACTTAATAACGTATTGTTTTATAATGTAAGTGTTAGTGAATGTTAATGTGAACTAATTTAAAAAAACAATAAAACTAATTAAAATAATTTTTAGAACTTTGTTCATTTATTTTATATTGAATAACAGAACAGTAGAGAACTTTCTTTCTTTTAAATGGGTTGCGCTTAGACTGTTTATTTGATCGAAAATGATGGCAATGTAAAGATACACCATTGCCTTGAAAACACCGAGATCATATATCTACGGGAACAAGGAAGCAAGAAATTCTTAAAGAACTTAAAATATTAATATGTAATTGTACCCATTAAAATAAGAAATTAACTATTCCTTTATTTCCTACTTTAACAGCTATTTGAATGTTATGTAAATACTTGATGTATAAAGCTACCAAGCAACACAAACCAAGTCGGTAACTCAAAGTCCTAACTGTACTAACAGAGATCCAATTCAAACAAACATAATCCGCCTTAAGAAGTTTCAACACAACAATACAAGTTTATACTCGAAAAGATACAATGAAACGTAAAGTAAGTGATGAAGAATGAAGAAAAAATGTGGATGTTAATGAAAAAGTTGTATAACAATAAGATAATCTTGGTGCCTTACTGTCTGGTGAATATTATAATACCGCTTTGTAAGATGTAACGTCGACTACTATCTACGAGTTAATTGTCACAGTTTCCGGTGTAACAGAAATTGTAACAGTAATGCTGGTTATTATAATTGTGATGATGAATTTAATCGTAGGTGGAGAAATGTTTTTTTTTATACAACTTAGAATAGCAAACAAGCTGACGGCCCACCTGATGGAAAGTGGTAACCGTCGCCTATAGACATGAGCAGTACCATGGACATAACAGAGTATACTG